GTAGAATAATGGCTCCTTCAGATAGTTATGCCAAGACATCATCGTTAAGCAGAGTTTGCCAGGTCCTAAAACCTCAAAAAGCATTTGTAGAGTACTAGATGGAGCTTTGAAATCCATCTCACATTCTTCTTTGTTATGCCAACGTGCCCTTAAACCTTAAAGTATTAAACCTGAGTGAGACAGGCGAATTTACAAAAACTGCCATGGCAGTTATGGATTAGTATTCAATTACCGCTATCAGCATGTGTCTAACCACCAGATCATTACCCCACAGTGACCACTTGTATGAGGAGAACTCACAAAGCAGAGAAGGGAGAGAGCACACCAAACCACCTGTTCATCATTTTGACAGGGTCTTCTGGAGTGTTAAATTTTTACATATATATATTATTTTTTTTCCATGGCACAATAAAAGTAAAATGTACAAGCACTAAACAAGAAAGCCTCAAAGCAACCTAGAGGCAAAAGCAGGAATTTTTATTCCCTTTCACAGGTGCAGAGACTGGGAGTTTGCCACCCTGTCTATTCTTATGCAGGGCTGCTGATTCCAACAGGCAGCCTGTTATTTGCGTAGCTGCACTCCAGCAATCAGGCATCTATGATACATGTTATTGCCTGGGAATTAAAAATTATGCCCATATTTATTGCTCATTGTGGGGAAAAAGAAAGGGAGATGCCAGTGATTAAAAAAAATCCATAACCAAATGACATAGCCACATCGTACAGCAAGTTCATGGCAAAAGCACAGAATTAAGGGTTTACCAGCTCCTCGTTTTCCACTCCATTCATTACGCTACACTGCTTTTCTACTTCCAAACCCAAGGCCGTTTGACTTTTTGCACAAGGTAAAGCCTCCACCCTGCTATTAGGAAGCTGCTCCACCACCTAACAAGCTATAACTGCATCACTATAGTCACTAATACAGCAGAATACACACAGATGACATAGACAGTTGGTCCCAGCAGCATCCTGATTAAAGCAGGTAAAAGAACTTGAAGAGACTAGAAAAATCACAGTAAATAAAATACAAGAAATCCAGTGACGCTCATTGCCTTTCATCAGTTATTTTTTTCATAATTTATCTGTTTGGCCATGCATGAGACTAGAGATGAAAGAATAACACTTGTTGGATGTCGTTAATCTTCTATACTTGCCAGAATTACTTCTGGCAAGTAGAATTTTTGTAAATTTGTTTCCAATTAGTATATACAACAAATGTTGCTTATGCCCAGCTGAACTCAGCTTCCTGGAAAATGTCCCTAGCAAATGGCCATCTGATTAGTCCCCATCAGGAGGAACATACTGTATCTGCATAAGAATACTGGGAGAAAAACAAATGGCAACAAAGAGCAATAGGCACACCGCTAAGACGGAAAGAGAGCACAGCAGTGCACCTTTGCTCATTTGAGGCACAAATTCAAAAGGGTGAAAAAAAATTCCAGCTTATCTTCCAAAGTCTTTTTACTGCCTTTTCTCAGGTCAATGACTTAAACCATACATCATCTTTCTAGAACCTAAGTGAAGTTTTCTGGTGCTCTGAACAAGTGATTTCAAACACGAAAAATATCTGGATTCTAGCCCTATTTCATGCTCTCTTTCTGAATCCTGTCACAAAGTAATTGATGACTTCAATCACACTGCAGCACTGATTTCCTGCCCTGGATCAATACAAAACATTTCTTGATTAGGTTTTTGGTGCTAGGAAGAATCTCATCACTATCAATCTTATTGATTGGCACCTTAAAGTACTAGTATATGAAGATCCCTAGATTTATTTTTAAACAAAGGTTTCCATGCGTACATAGGACTGAACTCCAAACAATCCATATTGCCAGATAGCTCACAAAAAATGGGAAAGAAAGAACAGGAGACAGAAGAGCTGTGAAGGGAGAAGAAGTAAGAACTCAGGGAAGGTACTGAAGGCAAAGAGATACTGGGTAGACTTCAGAAGCAGTGCAGACTGCTGAGAGCACAACTGCAAGAATGTTTTGCTGAAATATATCCCATAGGCATGAAAATACAATCAAAGACTCAGTAGACATACACTCAAAGACAGTATGTCACTTGCTGTTCTCTATTTCAGCAAGACGACTTCACCTCAAAGCGTATATTGAAATCTAACCCATAAGACTATTTTAAAATGTAATTTGAATGTTGCAACACGTATGTCCGGACACAGGTATTCATTTGTCATATTTATATAGCAACTTCATCCTCAAGCTTCCTAAAGCATTTCACAATCACGTATTTGCAGTACTGTGCAAATACAACCACTGCTAGGGTGGCTTCCATAATAACCAGAGCACAGAATATCACTCAGCAATTAAAAAAAGTAGCCTGTGGTCAGGTCAAGACAACAACCAGGCAGGCAGTGTTCAGTCTTTAAAAAGAGAAGCTAAGCACCACTGTAATATGGCTTAGAAATCATATACTTGCTCATGCAGTTGCACTGCTTGAGAGAGTAGATGTATGAATTCCCCAAATCACACATATTTTGTCTGAATTCATACAGCAATGACAACCTGCTATGGGCTCTCATGCACTCAAGTAGCACAGATCTGTGTGTTGAATGCAGGGGTCCTAAATTTGCTGGTGGTCTCAGTGGGTGTCAATACAGAGCTTTGGGTTGAAATTTGTTTCTCCATTTCTTTCTGAAAAGCCGAGGTATTACCCATGACAACTATGTTAAAAAATCATGAAGACTGAAAAGTCAGGCACCAAAAAGCTTGTGCAATATTAATTTGGGCAAGCATTATGATGCAGGCCGGTCTCCCCTGACTGCCTTCAAGAACCTTACCCACATTCTACGCTCTTGCAGGAAAACCAAATCCTGCATATAAACCATTTCACTATACAGTTCCAAATAGCTCCCAGAACTGGTTCAGCTTATGCACTGAATAAGCCAGGACAGCTGATAAAAACCTCAGCATAGATTATTACCATGCATATTCACAAGCAGGGTAAACTGGATGTGTTTAGAAAGCCTTGATTTTGTCATTTCCCCATTTTCTGTGTCTGTCTTTGCAATCCCAATAGATCCATTGCAGCTGATCTGAGTATATGTTTGTGACCTATAAATGCGTTACATGTTTATAAGATGTTTGCACTTCCTGCACTGAGCTACCTTACGTGCCTAACCTCAGTGTGATTCAGGAAAACCAAAGTTAGAAGCACAAACTCCTTATATAGTAAAGGGAGAAAAACAAGCACCTCCTGGAGGAACTGATTTAATAGACCTAGGATGATGACCTAAAGTGGATGTTGTGAAAGCCTCCTTAATGCAGCAAGTTTTTCCTACTTATTCTAAATATGTATCTTTTTTCCCCTCTGCAGTGCCAGAGGTCTGCTTAATTTACACAGATTTAATTGACACAAAGAAATGAAAGAAACAGATGGCTTGAGGCCAGCGTTCAAGCAGGTCTGGTTGTGTAAAACAGCGCACACTTCCAAAGCGTACATGAGGAAGCGGCGTGTGTGAAGGGGAGATGAATAGGAATTCATCTGGGAAAAAGGAAACACAATGGGTATCATACAGGAAGTTTATAATGGACAGTTGAGACTGGGTCCTCAGGACTGAGTGACACTGGTCACGCATGTGGCCAAAAAACCCACGCTGATAAGAATAGCTGCAGTCAGCCTGCATTAGCCAGGAGCCAGTTTGAGAACATATGGCAAAACAAATGATTCAATGCAATCTGTTCATTCTGCTGCTTCCCCCAAATATTGCTGTACTAACATCCTCTGCTTTTTGCCTTATTACATAGTGTTACTATTTAAGAGCATGGAAAACACCTGTAGGGATGACAGGGACCTACAGAATTACTAGCATGATACACCGCTGTGGAGATTCCTGTACTGTTCCACAGATCAGCTCGAGATGTTTACACATATCTTGCTCCTTACTCGTGTGAGAGAAAGGAAGAGAAGGGAAAGCTAGCAGGCTTGTCCTGTTTGCTCCTTTTTCTTTCTCCCAGGCAAAAAAGGATGAATTCTCCCACTGCATCTCTGGATTTCACACCAGGCACCCCAGCTCCTAGTTAGCACCACTGTCCTTAAATTCTGTGAGGGTCACAACAAGCAGAAGTTTTACCATTTTGACCCCTATTCACATCCTTCAACTTCCTAAAACATCTACCTTCAGGCATATCATCTCCTGAGATAAAAATGTCAGTAAACAACATAAGGTTTGGTGTTTTTTACATTGAAAACTTTTTTCCCTTTATAGATGTGGTTGTACAAAATAAATAAGCAAGCACACTAGCAAGCAGTGACGTCTGAGACATCAGTATTGCCACAACTCATCTGTCCATCATAAGTCTTGCCATGTTTATTATTTTAAGAGCCACATACCTTCCCCTGAATCAGACTCTATTGACTATAAAAAACCCCTCTAGTCTGTTGTTTTTTAAAATGAACAAAGTTAGAAGCTCTAACTTGAACCTTAAAAACTAAAACAACAGGAAGTAAAAAACATATTCTAAGGTTTTCATTTAGGTTTGTTCTGTAAAGCTGAGGATTTGGAAGGAAATCTAACTATTTCTGGGCATCTTAACTACATGTACTCAGGCTGACAGGCTGTTCTCAGTTTCACTGAGGTTCTTTTCCTGGTTCCGCCAGTAACCTGCTGTGTAACCTTGGGTTGTTCTCTCTTTTCTGTGCTCTTCCTTTTTTTTTCTTTCTGCCTTCCTTGTCACTGTTTGGGTCACTATAATCCTGACCCTTTGAAGCTCTAAGCATGTACCTTGACATGTTACGAGTAGACCACTAAAATGTATGGGAGTACTCACGGAGAACATTTATACATATAGTAGTATAATATATATACATTTTACAATGGAGTTTTGTGAATGTATGAAAACATACCCAAACAACTGAAAGCTAGTTATTTATCTGTATCTATTACAACTACACATTATTCCTTTCTTTGGATATTTCCATTGCCAGCTCCTAAGAATTCTGTTCGTTATCTAGAGAGATTCATCTTATGGGGAACACAGTACCATGTCACAGTGCAGCTCCAAGTTTAGGTCCCCTTTATTAGTGTGAAGTCGCACATAGCCCTTCTTCTTCACGTATTTGTATCTCACAACATCTTCTTCAATAGCAGCTGTATCAAAGCAAAAGACAATAATTAGCTCTCTGGAAGCTTACTCATTGATCTTTAGAAATCATGAGAAAACGAATTGCTAGATTCTACTGTCTGACCTCTTCCCCTGGGGTGCCGGGTCTTCAGGGATTGCACTCTGCAATTCATCATGATAACCTCACATTAATCTCTGTGCAAAACAGTTTCCATTATAAAGCCACCAACTTCTTGAGAGCCAACAATATCATCTATATTTTTAAGTCACAGAAGCATTCAATATTACAAACTGTAATTTTCGAGTAATGTCTACCAATCACAAATGTTTCTTTGAAACCAAATTGTTTGTCAAACTTGGAAGCCAAGCAGGTAGTCATCAGTCAACCACAAATTGCTGACATATGAGGACCTACCCAGTTCTGAAAACAAATGAAGCTAAATTACTGGAAACATTACTGGAAAGTCAAACCAAAGGATCAATCTAGGATGTTTCCACTTCCATTTCGTCAAAATGTCCAGTTAGATATTTTCAACACTCAAAAAATTCACCTGTAAATCACTGTAATCCACCAAGTAGAGGAAGTGAACTTGGTAAACATAGTTTTAGCAATGTATTTAATCTTTGCGTGTGTGACATACTTCTAAACTTTAGTGCCAAATGCCAGACCTTCCTCTTCAACTGGGAATACGAATCACTCAGCTATTTAATCAATATTAAAATTACATAAATGCTATACATTTGTGTTTAGGCTGAAGAATGAAAGGAAAACTTTATTGTACTAAAATGCAATTCTGTGTAACCTTGAAAAGCGGTAAATCAAAAGTTATCACCACAAAATTTGCTGTCATTCTAACCAATACTGAGTTAGGCCAAAAAGGTGGTAAAGATTTTGTATGCTGTTTGAGGAGAGGGTATACTTCATTCCTAACTTACGTAAGTGGATATCCCAGTTTGTGGTCCCCGGGCATAGAAAATACCTCATTAATTTCAGTTCAACGTAAGTAACTGTCATTCAAAGCCAAAGCTAATTCATAATTGCTCCATTATTTTCAGAATGAGCTCACTGGAAAGTATGGATATATCTGCTCAGGGAATACATTTCCAAGGAATCATTACTGACCAATTATCAATGCATTCCTTCAGTCCCCATAAATATATGTGTGCTAGGGAGCACACTTTGAAACTGGAAAGTAAATAAACAGCTTGTAGCTAGGTAGTTTCTGGTACCTGCTTCGTGGGTAGTTTCAGGCACCATTGCAGTGGAGGTGAAGGAAGCGCTTACTGCTCCAGTGGAATAGTGAGCCTGTTTGCAGAGAAAAAAGCAAGAGAAAAAGACATTAGATCTTAGAATTTATCTACTAAAGGTACTATATAAGCACTAGAAACACACAAATGTCATCCTTCTGAAGGCAGACTTTCCGATGCAGCTCCTATAGAAACAATCAAATGCACAATGCAGTGATAATTCTCCATCTGTTGCCCATAACATTTGGCTCTGATGAAACTCTGTCCACGTGCTGAGCTGAAGGGGCTTATTGCTTCCCCTACAGTTTAATACATCATTATGTAAAGATTCTAATATCGGAATTTATTTGTACATCCACAGGTGGAGATATGAAAGGAGTACTGCTGGCAAGACATCTGTAAAATTCTCCAATGTTGCTGAGTAAGTGGAAGGAAAATCCAGTGAACCATGGAGACGTTGGGGAGGAAAGCAAATCCCCCTCACACACACACAGCCCTTCTGCGTGCAGAGGCACTGTCCCATGGTTCCCAGTGCCTATTTTGAGCTTTGCAATTCTCCTGTAGAAAGGAAATGTGAACGTCACACATGGATTTTGTACTAAATTACAAAGATCTAATAAACCCGGAGATACGTTTAGCAGCTCTGAGGCAATGCCTGTAAAGAATACAGGTCAGGCCAACGCTCTATCCATAAGGTTACACGGCATCCCGTGCAAGTTTACAGTTAGGTCATTAGCTGACAGTCTGACTCTCCAACACGTGTAGGGCTCATCATTGTTTCTCACCTCTTTTTTTTTCCTCCCTACATCTTTTGTTTTCTTGTAACACTATGATGCCCTGAAAAAGGGGCAAATGTGATCCTACTCCTTGGTCACTTACACTCCCTAATCTGTCACTAAGCCTCCTCATTAAAAGCTGTATGCTGCATTGCTGTTCGTTTTCATGTAAGTGTAATCAAAGCACGAAGACGCATACATCCCAGAATTATTAAAGGAAAGAAGAATACTCTGTCTTGCTCATTTCAAACAGCCTTTGATGTAGGAAATCTAGATGCAGATGAATTGTTTCTCTTGACAACCATGAACACACAGCAACATGCACCTGGAAGAATATCCTTTAAATATTCCACTAAAAATCTGCATTCCAGTGGAAAAAAAAGGGAGAAGCAGCTGTGGATGATTTATATATTTGCCCACACCAGAAATGATTCACTTGCACTGCCCTTAAGGTGTGTTCTCTCTGCCAATAGCTGCAGGAAGCAATGATAAACAAATTCAAAGCAAGAGATTACAACCTGGGAAAAAAGGTTCTGCCAATATATACGTCACAGGCACATCATAAAGATTCCTCTTTCTTACCGTGCTCCATTTCTAAAATGTTTAGGTTCATTTACAATGATTTAACAAAGAGAAACTCACTAACATATACAATGTATTTCTAAGGAATCCCAGTATGATTCTCATATTCTCATCTATGACAAATTTCCATGTAACAGAAAACATAAGGAGTAGTGTCTGTTTATACTGCAATATGGCCTCTAAGCTGAAAAACATATTACCATTCTTGAAGAAATCAATCAGTGCCAATGTACAAATTAAGTCAACTTACTGCATTTAGCTTATCCACTTTCTTCTTTTCAGGAGCCTTCATAGTAGCTGCTAGAATATCATCGCCTTTGAATTCCTTATAAAGCTCCAGTAAAGTCTCTCGGGTCTCTGTATTTGTATTTTTCAAATAGTAAGATGGATCTAATTTTGCTTTTTCTTCATCTAGATAAGACAAAGTTAAATCACTCAGAGTTAAAAGAAAAATTCTATTTTGTTTTCCCTCAGTTTCTTACATATCTAGTTACACAAAAATCTTCCAGATATTATTTCTACTTCTTTTAAGTAAAAAAGTCTAGTAACTATATTTATTCCTGCAGAAAGAGTAAAAAATAGCAATGCATAACACTAACAACAGTATAAATTGAAATATAGTACAATAAATGCCAATATGAAGTATAACAAAAGAAAAAACAACTTCAATTACCTCAAAAATTTCTTTGAAACCACTAGAAATTATCTAAATTCATGCAAGTATTGTAAAATTTTTATAAAACAATAAAGACAAGATACAGTTGGGTACAATATAAACTTCTGTCCTTTGTTTCCTCACTGAATGACCAGGCTTGTGATGCAAAAATCCCGAGATCAGATCTTTAATGTGATACCAGGAGGAGGAGGCTGGTGAACTGGACTGTAGAATTTTATTATCTTTTTTTTAAGTTAATTTTTTACTTTTACATATTTTACTTGTTCTCTGTCTTGGTATGCCTACTATCTCTGAGATAATACCCACTTATTTTTAGTGGGTAAACAGAAAGAGAGATGCTTGCTTGCAGAACTAGTAGCTTAAAAAAAAGGGGGGGGGGAGAAAAAAGAGAAGAGGAAAGAGAAGAGGAAAGAGAAGAGGAAAGAGAAGAGGAAAGAGAAGAAAAAGAAAAGCATAATAACACCCAGAAAAAACCCCCACCATGCTTAGAATCAGCAACTACACCTCATTAGAAACAGTTCTTAAGGAAACCATAAGGGCAAAAGAGAATTTTTTTCCTTCAGCAATTTAATATTAGCAGTTATTACTAAGCATTTCAATATCAAAGAATCACAGAAGAATTGAGAAGCAAATTTCTTGTGCTATCTAGAAAGAAAAAAAAATTATTTTTTAGTATTAAAATAATTTGGGGACTCTTTTAGAAAAACCTATATCAATCTTTAACTTGGAAGATGCCCATTGTTATCCAGACAGGAGGATAGGCAATACATTGTTGATACACATGAAAGAGAGCCTAGCAGACATGTATGAGAAGACGTAGGTTTCCTTGTCTTAGTTCTGGTAAAAGGCTAATGGACATTTTGGCAAATTATTTTTCCTTCTCTTCTCACTTCTCTCTCATCTACCTATTCTTAAAGGATATGGAAAGCTTTCTGCATTTGCACAGCACTCAATAGAGACAGTTCATGATTTCTCAAAGAATCACATCCTTGCTTCAAAATTTGTTAACACCTTTTGATGTGAAAGGGACAGTTTCACCAAGTTATTCATGTTACCAGAAGCTGTCAAAGTTACCACTAGCCACTGAGGGTTGTCCATCCAGAAAACAGTGTCAATTCCGTAACGTTGTCTTTAGAATTTGCATATTTTGGTTGGTGTTTTCTCAGCCTACCTTTCAGGTAATTCATCCTTACCTGGATCAATTACTTTTATGTTGTTCTTAACATGAAAGAAGTTTGAGACATTGAACTTATCCAGGTTTGTTGGATCCTGAAAATAATAATGAAAACCCAAATATCAGAGAGCTAGGTAGGCACCCATTCCATACAACAGACTAGTTTGAGGTGCAGACACCACCATAGTAAATGAATAGGGAGAGACAGAACAACTTCCATACTCCTCAAACCACAGAAAGATGAAAAAAATACAAAGCAATCAACCCCAACCAACATCAGTAATGAGCCTGTTCACAGTAGGCTCCTTAAGGATCTAGAATTTAGTCCTAAACATACTATTACACCTATTTTGCCTGCTGAAGTTACCAACAGAACTAAGCTGAGTCTACCCTATCCTAGTGAGAAGAAAGAATAAGGAGCTGCCATCCCCTGCTTCTTTCCTATTTATAACAGCGTGCCTGATTTGCACATGCTGTGAACTTTTGTAATGCATTTCAAAATACAAATAAACCTCAGAGCAAGTCTTTGCAGTCAGAACTGTTTTGTTTGTTTTTTAATAGTGAAATCTGTGCTTACAGATTTATGTTGAAAAAATAATAATTAAAAAAGCAACAAAAAGTGGTGTTATGAAAACTCTATTGAGTGACCACTCAAGGAAAACACAAAAAATACACAGTCCATTAACTGTGAGTCTTTATACTATCTCTAGCCAACTTTCTGCATAACTTTGACCTTTTGTTAGAGAGTGAGACAAGGAATGCCTGCTGGTGATCTAGGTTACATTATAGTATTATTAAACAGTCCTTAATCCACTTCTTACTGTGATTTCAAGGCTTTTTCCTCAAGCTCCTCTGCAGCACAGAAAGGTCAAAACATCAGCCCAGGACACCCAGCCATTTCTGTAAACCTATCTTACAGAAAACAATTCAAAATCTAAAATACCAAAATATCTTAATAATATGCAATAGTTTCAAGTTCAGGATAAAAATAATGCAACATATTATGCCCAGAGCTATGACACCAACATGAACAGTATTATCCCAAATAAATTTAACAAAGCTTCTCAGACCACCACTGTTGGGAAGAAGTTCCGACAATTCCATCTCTGCTAAAAGTAATGATTAATACAAGCAGAACTGGTAGCTCCATCACTTATTAAATCATCTAATTATAATTTTATTCATCCCTAAAATGGTATACTTTCACCAGAGAGTGCATTTTGAGTTTTACTGCTGATAGTAAAAACAAAACACATTTATGAAGTCAAGCTGTGTGATTCTGCAGCCTAATGGTGACCTCCTGGCTTTCTGCTGTCACCCTTCCCAACCACATCATCATTTTCTATTGCTTCCTGCCCCACTACACCCTTCCGACAGATCTTCATCAAACCATGGACTGCCAAAAAAAAAAAAAAAAAAAAAAAAGGAAAGGTATTTTTGGTTTTAATGTCTTGCATTAGAAGAGAACAGATAATCTTTAAATAAAGCTACTAAGGAATGGGAAATTTGGACCAGTTTTTTAACCATTTTTGTATTCTCTGACACCGACACTCAGGTGTATTTATTATTATTATGAACAAGCTCACATACATATTTATGTATGTATGAATAGAGATAATTCCAGCCTTGCTCTCTGACAGTCAACAAAATGCATGGAGAAAGTCTGGAGAAAGGGCTCAGCATGTTTCCAGAAGACGCAGGTTGCCTCCTCCCAAACACTCTTCAGTAATCATGAGCTGCAGCTTTCCCAGACAGAAATTGTCACCTTGCACATAAATGTACCATCTCGAAAGGTGAAGGAAGTAAGACTACTTACCCTTTCCAGGAAAGGAAAAAAATAATCTGTGTATTAATATTAATAGAGACAAATGGATTTATAGCAATCCACATGTCTGAAGGGCAAGACTGACTCCTGAAACCGACTTTTCATGGATGGGAGGGAGGCCAGGAGACAGCAGTAAAGATGAACCAGAAAACACCTTCACAATATTCCTCTAAATAAAGCTTCTTGGTTTACTGATTTATTGATTGTTTAAAAATAAATAAAAGGACATCACAACTGCCAGTGCCTTATGAAACCAAGTGTTTTGTGCTAGGGGTACCACGACTCAGATTAGTTCACACTGTTTGACAGCCACAGGTCATTCAAATCTTTCCTGGCTTACCCAGCCTAATTGCAGTCATTGAGCAACTCTGGCAAAAACGTTTCCAGTCTCCTTTCCCTGCAAGGGATTTCTCAGGGTTCTCCAAATCACTGCTAACCTCCCCATAGGCAACGCACCCATTATGGTGTGATGGACAGCAGAGGCCTCTCCTCCCTCTCTTCTCGCAGACCACATCCATCCATTTGCTTTCTGAGAGACCCCAGACAACACCAAACCCCAGAACTGAGACCAAGGTCCTATGCACAAGATCCCTCATCACATTCAGGTGGGCCATTTGTTCAAATGGAAACCTCAACAAAGGTTTGATTTATGCCTACTCCAAAACCGGTTTCCCTCTGTCAGTGGGAAAAACCCCTCAAAAATGGTTCCTCAGGTTGAAATGTGAGTGTTGTCTTACACAGGACAACTAGGACAAGTGATCAACAGATTGACTCCTCCCTCTCAAATACAGCATCACGATACACTAGGAGAAGTTTGATTAGAATTAGACATATGCGCACACTAAGTGTGACAGTACTGTGGTGAATATTAACTTAAACACAAGACACCATTTGCTTCTACCGTCCCCCAGAGCAGAAACACATCTGACCAGTCCAACCTGTGCTGCAGAAGACACAAATCGTTTCCTTACTGATGGTAATGAGTCCTACAACACAAGATACACATTTTTTTAAGGTAGGTCTATGTAAATTTAAAAAGTGCACGCATTCTTTAGACATATCACTTCAGGAAGAAAACTATCTAAACATTAATAATTAGCTTGCCAAGTTCCTCTTGTTGCATCCATGACAGCTACTGGGCACAGAATCAGAGCAGTCTGATGAAGACACCGCAGGGACGGGCAGACGGACATACTTGCTTTATCAAAGCCTTGAGCTCTAATGAATTAACAGCTTCTCCCAGTCAGAGAAAGGCTGGGCTCATGGGGATGCTCCCACACCTGTTAAGATAAAGGCCTAAAGAAATAAGTTCTGTGTAAGCGCACAGAAACCAGAAAGGAAGACAAACCATGAAGATTAAATTGGCCTATTTTTGTTTGTCTTAGCATGTTTAAAAATATGTATTCAAATTACCACGGGTAGCAATCTCAGAGTCTTTCCTATTAAGGTTACAAACCATAAACTAAAGTTTAGCAAATTACCAACGCAGATACAGACTTCAAAGGGTTGCTAACTATCACAACTATTAAAAATATTTTATTTGATGTTTTCCTGAAGGCTGAGCTCGGAAAACAATTAATCTCAAGTTTTATTCCACTTTTTCTCCCCTATAATTTCCCAGTTTCACCTACTTAGGGAAACAGCTTAAATCTCATTAATCTTAAGCACCATACACCCACCCCCCCCCA